ATTGAGCTCCTGGAGCGAGTCCAAAGAACGGTGACTAAACTGGTCAAGGGGCTGGAAAATAAAACTTATGAGGAGCGGCTGAGGGAGTTGGGGCTGTTTAGCCCGGAGAAGAGGAGGCTGAGGGGAGACCTAATTACAGCCTACAAATACTTGAGAAGGGATGGTGGGGAGGTGGGGGAAGGGCTCTTTACATTAGTGTTGGGTGATAGAACAAGAGGAAATGGGTATAAGCTTAGTCAGGGGAGATTCAGGTTAGATGTTAGGAAATATTTCTTCTCTGAAAGGGTTGTCAGCCACCGGAATAGGCTGGCCCCGGGGGGGGGGGGGGTCCCCACCTCCCCATCCCTGGACGTGTTTAAGAATAGGGTGGATGATCTACTTAGCAATATGGTTTAATGGGGATTAGGGATGGTTGGACTCGATGATCTCTAAGGTCTTTTCCAACCTAGAAATCTATGAAATGAAATCGATCTTGTCTTTCTACCTTTTGACTCATTCCACTGATCTCCCATCTCCCACTTCATGTTACATCTTTTTGATGTTTCCATTATCCATCCCAGTCTATGTCTCACTCTCAACTTTGACTTTCCACTTTTGGCACTGTACTTCATTTGCGGCAGTGTTCTGCGAGGAAATCCCGCACTTTTCCCAGTGCCAGGCAACCTGCCCATCTTCATGCAAACTCCTACATAAACAAAGTATTTACATATAATTGCTGAACTAAACATTGTACTTTCATTCAGTTCCCCTACAGTTTACACAGTGGGTAGAAACAACAGTTTTGCGCAGTTACCTTCTTTTTTTCTTTCAGTGCCTCCTTTTATCATTACTGACCAAGAGGTAATCAGCTCAGAGATTACCACCATTTTCTTTAAATAGGATAATTCGCTGTATAAGAATACAGCCACAATATAGAAGAGAAAGGACACAGTTAATCATTACAGAAGCTTACATGGATTATCTTTCAAATAACAAAAGGCATCACCAGTGCTCTCATGTTAGAGGGATGGAGATAAGCAAAAATATTGTGTATGGATACAAATCTTTATGGCTTTTTCTCAGATAATAGATGCCTACATATATAAAAGAACAGATAATGATTACTACATGTTTCTTTGCTGGTATTTCTGCTTTCCCCTGGGGCTTTGAGAGTGCTCAGCATAGCCCATGGGCACAGAGTAGACCCCAGTGTCAGCCTTTGGACTGAGCTCCCAGGCACCAGCCTGGCCCTGTCTTCTTTGTGATGTACTTCCGCTTCATGTCTTTCACACTGATGTATGACGATAAAACACCTTGTCCTATAGCAAATGAATATCTTCTTGCATTGCAGCTATTGCTGTCATGGGCTCTGGGAGGCCATTTTCCTTGCTTCGAATTTGTACCCACCCAGTTGCCATCAGAGGCTGCATTTTGTTCAAATATACAGAGCAAAACCAGAACTTATCTATGTGCTGTCTGTGTGTCCATAACCCACCACATAAACTAACCTCCAGAAGTTCACTGCAAAGCCCACAACCTACTTTTAGTTCAACAACAGCCAGCTGACACAAGGGCATGTAGGAAGGAAGGAAAAAAAGGATTCAGTGGAGAAAATTGATTTAATTTCCCTCTTTGTTAGAAGGAGGCATGGTTCAGAAGGCCTGGAATTTAAAAGTAAACGTGCCTCATCTTACATGTGATTTTCAGAAGTAGCAGATGCACTATTAAATTAATATCAGTTTACAATATACTTAATTTGTTAAGAAATTCATTGGTGAGTAGTTTATTTCTGATATATAATGTGTACCATCATAGCAGCTCTGGGCATCCCTATTAAGTATTTCTTAAAAAGAAAAGGTAAATTTTGCTTACTTTATTCAAGCAAATTGTCTCTCTTGTTAAAAATGGTATTAAGATAAATTAGCCCACTAGTATTAAAGGCAGCATTAATGCTCTTCAGCTTCCTATGGAATAATATTCAGTGCCTTATACAAGTTCCTTTACATCTTACATAGTGCTCCAAGAAACTGTATTTTGAAAAGAAAAAATGTTCCTTACGTTAATTTTTCTTTTAATCTCTCTTTTTTGCTTTTCTGGCAAGATGAGTTCAGTGCTGACTAGCAAATGAGATGTTCAGTATTAGTGAACAATGGAAGTGCTTTATAGATTTATTCCTTGCTGGTGAACCCATTTCTTTTATAAGCTCAAACAAAACATAACTTGTTTTCTTGTAATCTCGCAAATACGTTACCTGATAACACCCATTTAAGGGATTTTTTTTTCAGTCTTACTTTGGAGAGGAGAATGATTTACATGATCTACTCAGCAATAACTTGATTTCTTGAGGGCAAATATGGAAGTTTTCAACTGGATGATCATGTGTTACAAATAAGTTTTACTTTTCATTTTAAACAGGAAACTACTTTGTTAAAAGGAAAAATTCAGAAAGGAAAGTTGAGTCTTATTAGGTACTGAGTCAGACCATTTATTAATATTACATACACAACTCTTCTGTTCTCTTTGAAATATAGACTATGCCCAAAAAGGAATTTTATAGCTCTAGTCACATTAGAGCCTCATGGGACATGACTAAAGCCCTCAGAGAATGATTTTTGAACATGTCAAAAAGGACTTTGCATTTGTATGCGTGTGCCAGAGCACACAAATATGCAAGAGGCATTCAGATGGGTCCCTTTGAGGATCTATTTTCATGCTCAGTGTGTTACTTGATGAAGTACACAGTGTCTGGTGTGGTGGTTGTGATTGCTTCAGGATTGCTGGGCTGTGCTCCAAGGCCTCCCTTGGGACCTGCCCGAGCCACACCAGCCACAAGCGCTCATATCCTTGGACCTTTCTCTGCCCCAGTCAATGCCTTCCTCTAATGACCAGAAGCAAACTCCCTTGGCAGCTCTCCAAATCCCAGGGCTCCCACAGCCCATTGTAAGAACGGTGCTGAGCAGGCACTGATGCCAACGGAGGGCTAGCTCGCTACATACAGAGCTAGTTCAAGCCAAAATCTTCATCCATAATCCTCAGAATAAGCATTTCTCTGCCTGTCTTGCTAGTGAAGCTTACACCCTCCAGCACAGGCCAAAAGGCTGTGTGCAACCCTGGCTCATGGCCCTTAGCTCCTGGTGACAGCAGAGTAGGGGGAAGTCAGGGCTTGATTTTTTTGTTCACCAAACAAATGCATATTTTGGGTCAAACAATTTAAAATCATGCCAGATTTTTAAAAAGCAAAAACCATAAAAGAAAGTGAATGGTATCATCTCAGTATTTTTAAATAGCATTTCATTCTGAATGGTGCTTCACAGAAGAATGTAAGCAAAGGGTTAATAAACAGCAGTAGCAAAGCAATTGTTTTGGGTGTAGCTACCCGTTCCATGCATTTCTTTCCTGCAAATTGGAAAATAGGTTATTCCCATGGCTTTAGTTAAGACAATTACCTGTGATGCAGTGAAAGACCTGAGTCAGGGCTCCTGCAAATTAAATGGCCTCTGTAAGTACTACATTACTGGCCAGTCCAAGAGAGGCGTCTCTCAGGATCTCCTGTTGGAGGTCTTCCTTCAAGCCTTAGGTTTTCTGATCTGAGTTCACCTTTTGTAGAGTGAGGACAACAGCTTGTGAACCTACTGCAAGACCTTTGGAGCAGACCTTTTTGATTCTGTATTTGTATCATGAGTCTCACTCTGCAAGCACAGAGAATAAGTAGTGCTATGGCATGGATAATACATTAAAGACTTTGAAGCTTCCAGGTACAGTGATAAAGGAGGATAGTAAAAACCTCAAAGAGAATTTTATTATGAGTAATATATAAATATCAGAAATAAACGTTCAACAGGAGATTTCCAATTCCACTGTCCAAATGCTTCACAGGACATTCTTCAGCAAATTGAAGAACAATAATAAAACAAAGTGGCACTGACTAGTCATATTAAGGAAATACTGAGGACAACAGATGGGTTTGTAGCTACCTTTTATAATAGCTCTTCTTCAAATATTTTACAAAAGACCTTTCAGGTTCTAATGTGATTAGAAACACACTCCTCTTCAACATTTTTCTATAGCATAAGTAAGCAGAAATTACCCTGAAACGTGTGCAACCGTTGCTCTCTGTGCTTCTGCATCTTTTCCTCCTGCTTTCCCTTTGAGAAGGGAAAACTGCAATCGTTCAGCTGAATGTTAAAATCCATGAAATGGCTGGACAAGCGGGTGCTATAAGAGATGAAGAGGTCAATATCCAGAACTGTTTTTTAAAAACTATACAGAAATCTTCTGAGAGTATGTATTCAGAAAAGTGTGCCGGAAGCATATTAAGAGGCAAGAAAGCTCTCAGATATCCATTTTGTATAGCCAGACTGGATGCTAACCTTTCATTTTCAAGAGATTGATGTTTTGCTTAGTTTGTTCTTATTACTTTTTTTCTTTAACAGATGAAGAAAAATTCTTCCAACACAATGGCTTTGGCTCCTAACACTTCTAACAAAAGAGAGACAGTGTGTATATTTGGAACTGGAGATTTTGGAAGAGCTCTGGGGCATAAAATGATTCAATCTGGCTACCCCGTTGTGTTTGGAAGCCGGAGCACACAGACATCCCCCCTGATTCCCAAGGACGCAGAGGTGTTGAGCCATGCAGAGGCAGCGCAGAAGGCTGCCATCATCATTATAGCAATCCAGAGGCAACATTACAACTTCCTTACACCACTGGCAGAAATCCTCCATGGAAAGGTTTTGGTGGACGTAAGCAACAACTTAAAAATAAACCAGTATCCCGAATCCAATGCAGAGTACCTCGCTCAGCTGGTGCCTGGCGCTAAGGTTGTGAAAGCCTTTAACACCGTGTCAGCCTGGGCCTTGCAGTCAGGCACGCTGGATGCAAGCCGGCAGGTAACAACAAGCAATTGTGGTTTCCTATGTCATAGAGTTACATATCATGTGGTTTCTTAACAGTTAGACAAAACACACATGGAATATACAAATCAGACAAGATTGAGATGGAATTTTCGCTATAATTGTCCATTTCAAATCAAATGTGAGCTAAAATTTACTATTCGTTTGTATTATGGCATGACAACGGATATCGATAGCTTGCCTCTGAACTCGGTAAGGTGTTCAGAGAGACTAGAGAAGCAAGGAAAGAAAGATAGCAGGGCTAGAAAGAGAGAGACAGCAAATCAGGAGGAAATGAGGGCTGCATCATTTATTCACCAAGAATGTAAAGTCAAACAGAAAGGATATAGGAGGGATATATCAAAGCAAGAATAAAATGAAGAAAGCCAAAAAAAGGGAGGCAAGGAATATGATGGAGCAACAGAACGAGGACGGGCAACAGAAGTGAGCTGAAAGGTGAACAAATTAATAAAGTCTTCTAAATCAGAATCCACCATCACAGAAGTTTAACACTGTAACAGTATGTGCAAACCATTTTAACCAGCTCCTTAACCACAGGCCAGCCAGCACAGAGCTGGTCATAGGAAGAAATGCAGCAGCTTAATTGAAGACAAATCATTTATTATTACCCTGTTTTCTGCTGCTCTCAGGGATAGTGCTCTTGTACAACACAAGGTTTCAGTCAGCTACTCAAACGGTTTCTAGCTTTGCTTTCTGCTGCCAGATAAACCGTAAAGACTTCTAAGCCTAGGCTCTACAAGCCTTCATCACATCAGTGAAAGCAGAAATTACTCCCTTTTTCCCAGTTCCAAATGGAGTATTGTCTTGCACACTCACAGAAAAGATGGTTTCTTAACTATTTTACTAGACTTGGAAAGAAGTAATATTTACTTTTGTGATAGGGCAATCATATTTTAAAGATCTCTGTCCCTCGTTCTCTGCAGATCTTATGGACCACTGTAGCAGCAATTGAAAATTTTGCTCCTATTTACTCCACGAAATCTTGTGCTTACAAACTGCTTGCAGGTCTTCAGAAGGGTATGTCAAGTCTTCTAGGCAAAGACTTGTGCTAAGTGTGCATACGTTGTTCTTTTCAGACACAAAATTTTGCCACTTGAAACAATCTCCTTCCCCAGAGAAAGATTCATATTCTTAGTTCTTGGACCTATTGGCCAAGAAAGTATCCATAGGCTTTTTTTTGCCTATATAAACTAAGACCAGCAGGGTAGCCAACAAGTAGACTAGGAAGCTTGTGCTCATTGTCCGACTCCAGGCAGGACAGTAGCAAAGGATGTCACAGAAGTCTGTCTAAATAAAACTTCTCTTTGTGTTTCACTGCAGGTGTTTGTCTGTGGAGATGACATGGAAGCTAAACAAATGGTGATGGATATCGTTCGTGCACTGGGTCTCACTCCATTAGATCAGGGATCCCTTTTGGCTGCTCAGGAAATAGAAAATTACCCTCTGCAGCTCTTTCCAATGTGGAAGTTTCCCATCTTTTTGTCCCTTGGCCTAACCGCATTCTTCTTCTTCTACAGTTTGACTCGTGATGTAATTTACCCTTACGTTTATGAAAAAGAAGATTTTTCATTTTTTATTGCAATTTCCATTCCAAATAGGATCTGCCCTGTATTGGCCCTCATCCTTCTTGCCTTGGTTTATCTTCCTGGTGTATTTGCTGCAATTATTCAGTTATACAGAGGTACCAAATACCGCCGTTTCCCAGACTGGCTGGACAAATGGATGCTGTGTAGGAAACAACTTGGACTAGTAGCCTTGGCATTTGCTTCTTTGCACGTTTTGTACACTCTTGTTATTCCTATTCGTTCCTTTGTGAGATGGAGAACCAGCAATCAAATTGTCTCCCAGGTAAGATTTCTTCCCTGCTCTGTGTCTTCCTTTCTTCTGGCCCTGTTACAAATATTAACTGCTATCTTGAGCATCAGAAATTCAAGTGGACAGTGTAATGTTCTCTACAGTAGGGTTATTGGTATATGCCATTGGTATATCCAAATGTTGTTGATATTATGTTGAGTTGAGAGGATTTCTGGCCTCAGTCTTCCTCCTAGAAAGTTTATATATTAATAAAATAAGCAACAAAAATGTAAACAGTGAGAGTAATGTAAAGAAACATATTTCCCTATTTCTACATATGCCTTTAAGAATGGCACATATTTTGACTTTAAAAATGGCACATATTTTTGCTTTCTGATCTTATTTAACAACACAGGATCACATATCTGTCCTCAACAGCAAGTCTACAGCAGTATAAAACATGCACCACAATTATAGGTACATGGAACCTATATATAACATAATGCCTCTTCTGTTTTTCAAGTAGGTGTTCACAGTAAATCTCCAACCATTTTCAGAGAGTTAATGTATAACATTTATCTCTTAGTTACCTTAAAGCATATTTTTTTCTGCATATTGATCCTAAAGCTGTTATCACTGAGATATACCTGGTCTTTTCTTCAGGCACTGAACAACGTAACAGAATCACTCAACATCACTAATGCCTGGCTTAGTGACTCTTATTTGGCTTTGGGGATTTTAGGATTTTTTTTGTTTGTTCTTCTGGGAATAACTTCCTTGCCTTCAGTCAGCAACAACGTCAACTGGCGAGAATTTCGATTTGTACAGGTAAGAAAATTACTTATTCTAAAAAACCTTCTTCCCTCTCTTCTGGAAAATTCCTTATTCCCTTCTCCATTAATATCTCTAAATGTGATGTGTGCACTACCCACCATCACATGGTGAAAGAAAAATACCTACACGGCTATACAGCTCACCTGCGAAAAAACACAACTGCTGATGGCTGCTTACGGTACAACTGGGATTACTGCATTGACAAGTGAAAATTGGGAAGATGCGAGCTCCCAGATGACAAATCGAAAGCTGGCATTGTGGAATTATCAAATCCCACAATTATACCAAGTCAGAAAATATTTTAGCCATTTATTGGGCTAATTTTGTTGGTTCACAAGATAATTAAGTTAAAATGGGTCTGAAGAATGACTCCATAACTCAGATCCTCTCAATGCCAAGCATCTAAAGAGAATCTGCAGTTTCTGCAGTCTCTAAAAACTGCTGTGCCTATAAACAGGCTGCCCTTGGTAACACTATAATCTCAGCCCCTGATTCGGAGGAAGCTTGGTGCAAGCTGCCGTGCCTCTGCAGGAGCTGGGCTGGCAGGGGAGAGGAGGCACGGGGAGGGCAAATTACCGTCAGCAATGTTTTATCAAGGCCAAAAACTTGCACAGTATGGTAGTTCTGGATGGATTAGCAGTAAAGCATATAAAAGCACTGAATTTCAGCATTTTCTCTGCATTTTCACAAATATGACAACCACTAGGCAGCATGTGTGAGCTAGCAAAAATTACAAGGATTGTTGATGGAGAAAAAACACAAAGAAGTGTGTTTCACCTAGATCCATTTGAATGAATCTTTATTAACAAGCAATAAGAGCTTTTGTATTATAAAAACAGTTTAATTTCAGCAGACTCCAATTAGTCCCGAAGTCGGAACATTCCACAAAGCTTACTGTGTCTTGTAAAATGCATTTGTTCTGGTTTAATTTACTATTTTAACCTCAACTTCTTTCTTTCCTTTGTTCTCTCCTAGTCCAAACTGGGATATCTGACACTGATTTTGTGCACTGCACACACGCTGGTTTATGGTGGAAACCGGTTCCTGAGCCCGTCATCGTACAGATGGTACCTTCCAAACACCTATATGCTCTCCCTCATCATCCCGTGCATTGTACTGGTTGTCAAATTTGTGCTGATACTTCCTTGTCTAGACAAACCTCTCACGCGAATTCGACAGGGCTGGGAGAGGAATCCCCAATACTCAGAACAGTCAAATTACATTATCAACAAGTCTGCTGTATAATTAGACTAACCTGTATTAACAAAAAGAAGAAAAAGAAATATATGAAGGCATATAAAACTGAAGTCCTGAGCCTCCTTCATCTGGAGCGTGAGAGAAAAAGAGACAAACTTGTCCAGGCCCTTAGTAAAATAAAACCACTCCAATGACAAGCTTAAAACACAAATCAAACGAGGCCATTGAGTTTCTGCCACCCAGGCATGCTTTCAGACAGCTGCAAGCCCTCTCTTTTGCTAAGTACATTCCCCCTTGCCTATTCACACTCCACTCCTAAGAGGGTATGAGAGAAGTAAATGGTGCTCCATGACCCTCCTCTTGTCGTTCCAAACCTCCTTCAGGGCTGGACAGAACTAGAGTAACCTTTGGTGTTAGACAGTATCTGCTCCTCTTCTCTATCTGTCCATTGAGACTCAGATCTACATGCACCAACACACATCCACACAGATTCACACACAGATGTACATGGACACGCACCCTGCTTCCACGTGCAGAAGCCACAAACACCATAGAATGGGTGCAGGATGGATGCTGGCTGAGAAGAGCGCTCTTCCTCCCAGTCTATCTTCCTTTAACATCTGATCCAAAAGAGATCTATGTTCATACCTTAGAGATAGTTGAGTAAGATCTTCCTGGTTTGTGTACAGGAACTCTAATGTTCGAAGTGTATGGGCCAAGGATTACTGCATCCTTGCTTGTACTGCTCTACCAGAAACTCAGGTGGCAAGGGGATGGAGAAGAGACCATAATGCCAGAAAGATGTGAGACGTGTTCACAAGGCTAAGCTTCTCTACAAGTACAGGCAAAAAACGGTCAGTGATTTTTTTTGTGTAAGCAGTGAATTTTAAAGAAAGAAACTGAAGGAACACTGGAATGGGTTGCCCAGAGAAGTTGTGGATGCCCCATCCCTGGAAGTGTTCAAGGCCAGGCTAGATGAGGCTTTGAGCAATCTGATCTAGGGGAAGGTGTCCCTGCCCATGGCCCATGGTTGGAACTAGATGATATTTAAGGTCCCTTCCAACCCAAACCATCCTACGATTCTATGATTCTATGAATATACTACTATATCATGGGGTTGTATTATACGTCACGGTTATATCTTATAGAGACAGTATTGTTGATTTTTCAAAAAATAAATATCGGATGCAATATTACATATATTCCATGAAAATATACATATTTTAATCACAATAAAGAAAATTTTTTTACAGTGCTGAGCTGTGTTATCATTTCTGGAACCTCTTTTGATACAATGCAGCTGCTGGTACGCTCGGTTTTACAAAGGTGTTGTAAGGCCTTGAGGCAAGGAATAAAATGGGATCCTGTCTTCAGCCAGCTGCCTGGGCTCACCTTTCCCCATCTTTGTTTGCTCCTTGGATGCTCACATAAGCAGATCTTTGCTTAGTCATAGCAGTTTAACCCCAGCCAGCAGCTAAGCACCACGCAGCCACTCACTCTCTTCCCCCTGGTGGGATGGGGGAGAGAATTAGAAGTATAAAAGTGAGAAAACTTGTGGGTTGAGATAAAGACAGTTTAATAGCTAAAGCAAAAGCCATGCACACAAGGAAAGTAAAACAAGGAATTCCTTCACCGCTTCCCATCGTCAGACAGGTGTTCAGCCATCTCCAGGAAAGCAGGGCTCCATCACACGTTATGGTGACTTGGGAAGACAAACAGCATCACTCTGAATGTCCCCTCCTTCCTTTTTCTTCCAGCTTTATACACTAAGCATGACGTCATATGGTATGTGATATCCCTTTGGCTGGTTGGGATCAGCCATCCCAGCTATGTCCCCTCCCAACTTCTTGTGCATCCCCCAGCCTGCTCGCTGGTGGGATGGGGTGAGAAGCAGAAAAGGCCTTGGCTCTGTGTAAGCACTGCTCAGAGATAACAGAAACATCCCTGTGTTATCAACACTGTTTCCAGCACAAATCCAAGATACTATGAACAAAATTAACTCTACCCCAGCCAAAACCAGCACATGTTGCTTTGTTACGCTAAAACATAGTCCAAAACTTATTGAAAATGCCAAGTGGCTAGATACAGTTTGCAATTTGCTGTTTGCTCCAAGAATGAAGTGCCAATATCTGCTGTGTACAAACCAAGGAGACAATGCCGTTCATGTGCACGGGGTGCATGCAGAAGCTCTCAGGAGCTGATCCAAAGCCCTCACATCTGAAAGTCAGCAGCAGCCTCTTTGTTGATTTCAGTAGATAATAATAGGTCAGATCTCCAGCAGCACTTGTTTTTCCAGTCTGAGTGAAGGATTTCATATGCTATTACTCTTGGGCAGCTAGTGATATTTGCTTCACAAATTTACATATTCATTTCTTGAACATTGTAGCAAAAACTTCTTCAGTAATCTTACATGATAGTTAAACTGAAAGCATTCAATGGCAATATTTTGAAAACAATAGCCAGCGCTATGAAAACTGTTGGTAGCTTGTATACATTTCTCATGGCTGAGCTCTTCGTATTTTCATATTTTTTTAATATACTGACAGAGCCTGGTAGAAAGGACATCAGAAGAATCATGAAATGAATTTTGGAAAGAGTGTTTTCCATATGATTCCCAGAAGCCAAGAAGAGCCTTTATGTGCATATGTACATAATGCCGTTCTAAGAATTACTGCAGGAAAAAAACATTGGCTCTCAACTCTACTTCTAAATCAGAGTCAATACTTCAAAAACATAAATTACAGCTTTTTAAATGAATGGTCACATGGACATTGTCATGATAACAACTAAAGGTGGATTTCATCACATAAGAAAGATTTATTCTGACGGAGAGTGCTACAGCATAGTGTTATTTTTAGACCTCTACATCCTGCACAATGTGGTTAATTTAACTTTCTTTTGCCTTATATACCTAGGGAATATCCATTTCAATCAAACGATGTACTCATTAGTAAAAAGAAAGAATTTTAATTAATCGGATTTACTTAGGTCTTGAGACAGTAATGGGATGTCAGATACCCTCTGGCCCCAGGGGATGCAGCTGACACCACAGGTACTGATGGATCTTGAACCACGGAGATCTAAGCAGTTCCCTTTTGTTCCACCACACCGCACTGCATGACCTGAGATCTGCAACTTATTTTTGCTCTGCAGCATGGCCTTCTGTCAGCCTTCTCTGCCTTATTGAACAGTCACTTCTCCAAGACATGACTGTTCATGACCCAGTCTAGAAAGGCCCTTTTTTTCCAGGATGTCAGGTTTTTGCGCCTTTGCTCCTGTTACATCCTACCAGACACAAGATTTTAGAAGAGCATATCTTGTCTCAAACACTGGTCAGCCTTTCTGATTCACTAATCCAAATAATGATCTAGTGGATGGAATGAGCACTCACAGGAACTATGTAACCTATATTCAGCTGCTTTTCCATACTATAATTAACATATTTAATAAATTTTCAGTGTTCTTGTAACAGCTTAAATACAGCTTCTCCTCCACACACTAAGGAAGCTTTCCTCTCCTACAGACACTCTTCTTTTCCTCTGCATTATACATGCTTCTGTTGCAGATCTCCATTTGTATCTCTAATTCCTGACATTAACATGAATTATTTGCTCCCTGGAGGAAGCTGACATTCCTCAAGACATTTATATATATATATATATTTATATATATATATCACTATGATAAGAAAATCTGCGTATCTCTTATTGTTGCACATTTCCTTAGTTCAATGTTCTTGAATCTGGGAATCCAGAATTGACATAAGTATCAGCTCCGACAAGACTAGACCCCTGACACACTATTTTCTTACAAGGAATCTCAGTGCTACAAAAAAATACACTGTAGAACCTTGAGAGGACATGCATGGACCTCAGAAAATTGCATGAAAATTAACAAATGTCTCCAAATGCTGCAAATCAAAAGTAATAATTTTTTGTTTATATGGCTTCACACATATCCCTGACTCTCTTTTGCTTCTACATCCAGATTTGCTTATTATTTGAGATTCATTCAAATACAGCCCCTTCCCTGTGCTTGCTTCTCTTCACACTTGCTCAGATTTAATCTAGGAAAAGCTTAACTGCAATCAGTAGACTCAAGCTGTTAAACACCCGTGCAGAGGCCTTTCCTAGTTTATTACCCATTAATTTTTTTTCCCCAGTTTTATGGAAGACGAGAAAGTGTAGTCTCTATAAATCTCTCTTTAGAGACTTCAGAAAATAGATAAAAGAAAAATGAAAAAGTGTAAGTTATTGTAATATGCTTATCATTGCAGGACACAAGCGATTGAACACCACTAGACCAAAACAGAATGTCCCAAAACAGGCATGTTTGGGACAGATTATCTATGACTGAGTGCTGGCATAGAAGGAGGGAGGTATTTTCAAAGAATCATTCTGAAGAAAAGTATATGGAACGAAACTAAAAGATTTATTATAATGTAAGAGAGAGAAGGAAAGAAGGAAAATGAGGAAAAAGACAAACCTGTTTTTCTTCTTCCCTACTGGCTCCATGACAGAATATGTCACACATTTTTGGTTGCATGGTACCAAGTATTTCAGCACCTTAAAAATAACTAAATGAAGAGTTTGAACTTGGCAACCCTGGAGTCCAATCAAGGTTTCAGGATCCTACCATAGCCTTCTTTCCTCAGTCCAACTTGATACAAATCAGCCTATTTTCTTATCCTTTACAAAACCTTTCCGAAGGCAGCTGCCACTCCACACCGCTCACTGTTGAGCAGTAGCAGTACCAAACCCAGATGTGCATCAGGCAGAGGACTTACGTGGGTCAGTAGTGAATATAGCTGGAAAAAACTGTTTCCCTGCAGAAAAGAATCAGGAGAGATGCTGGCGTTCAACTGGCCAGATACAGGACAGAGATTGCTTAATAGACTGCTCTGTTTCAATGTGAGACACCATCACCTTTATTTTATAGTTAAAGAACTGAAGCAAAATCAAACACATGATCTCACTGAAGAAAGGGTAAAAATTCAAGGTGGCATGAAAATTTGAAACACGTAAAACCCTACAATATTCAATGAAGAA